CCCTTGAAGCATGCTGGCTACGGGCCTGATTACTAACCAACCAAAGGTTATTGACACTGTTGACATACCGTTGAATTGGAATCAACTTATTTTAGAACAGGATAAAGATTCTGAACTTATATATATATATATATATATATATATATAATATTATATGAAATATTTAAAACTGCACTTTCCGAGCAACAAGCTCAAAATTCAAATTCATGTTATTACACGAATTCAGGCCTGCTCATGAGAAAATGGCGGCCTCAAAATTCATCTAACGAAGATGATTGGCAAACAGTGCATCAAATTGTAGTTCCCAAAAATATACGGAATGAAATTCTGAGCCTAGCTAATAATGGGGGACCTCTGTCGTCCCACATGGGTATTAATAAGACCTATAAACGGATCCTAAATCACATCTTTTGGCCAAAAGTGAGAGCTGATGTGACTGATTATTGTAATACTTGCCATACTTGTCAGGTTGTAAGCAAGCTAAACCAAATGAGGACCATTAAAACCCATTCCTGCATTTGGTGAACCCTTTAGCAGGGTCATCATCGATTGTGTTGGTTCCCTTCCTAAGACAAGAAGAGGTAACCAATACTTGTTAACAATTATGTGCGCATCTACACGCTTTCCAGAAGCAATCCAATTATGCAACATTAAAGCTAAGACAATTGTTGAAGCTTTACTCAAATTCTTTACATTTGTTGGCCTAAAACGATCCAATCAGATCAAGGGTCCAATTTTATGTCTGGAATTTTCCAGCAGGTTATGTATGAATTAAACATTCATCAAATTAAGTCAAGCGCTTATCATCCCGAATACCAGGGTGCAAAATTTGAACGTTTTCATGCATACTTAAAGAATGGTCTAAGTAACTTTTGCGTAGAGAATTCAAAAGACTGGGATGACGGAGTGCACTTTTTTTTATATGCTGCTCGAGAAGCAGTACAAGATTCATTGGGCTTTAGCCCTTTTGAACTAATTTTTGGGCATAATGTACGTGGTCATTTAGGAGCACTTAAGGATTCTCTACTTGACGAATCGTCACCCCTGAATCTCTTAGAGTATGTTGTTAATTTTAAATCTAGGCTTAGGAATGCTTTGGAGCTAGCTAAGAAAAACCTAGTAAATGCCCAGGATAAAATGAAAACTTATTACAATAACAAGGCTAGAGATAGGAGTTTTCAGCCGGGAGATAAAGTCTTAGTATTGTTGCCTGTACCTAAGGAGCCCTTGAAAGCTCAATTTTTAGGTCCATATAGGGTTAATAAGAAACTAAATGACGTTAAGTACATAATTGAAACCCCAGAGAGGCGACGTAAAAGTAGACTTTGCCACTTAAACATGTTGAAATTATATAAAGAACGAGATGAGACAAAGTCTCCTCGCTCTACTGCTCCAATTGTTTCTACCATTTTAACTAATACCCCTAATGACGGAATTATTGATGATATTGATTATAACGATAAATATGGTGGCGCTAAGGAACTTAGAGGCAATTGCAGTGCAAAACTTGAAAACTCAGATGTGCTGGCCAATTTGGACCTTAAACCAATGCACTTGAGTGATACAGAAAAATCTGAATTGCAAAGCTTGATAATGGACTATGATTGTTCCTGATGTTCCAGGAGAAATAACTGGTGTTTTCCACAATGTTCAGATTTTTTAAAATATCTCGCCAATTAAGCAACACCCATATCGTTCTAATCCATTGAAAGAGGAACTTATGCAAAAAGAAGTGGATTACATGTTAAAGAATGGCATTATTGAACCCAGTACGAGCGAATGGTCATCGCCTTGCCTTCTAGTCCCTAAAGCTGATAAACAATCATTCAGATTTTGTACAGACTATAGAAAAGTCAACCAGGTCACAAAAATTGACTCTTACCCTTTACCGTGAATAGAAGATTGTAAAGACAAAGTTGGCAGATCCAAGTATGTGAGCACACTGGATCTTTTGAAAGGATATTGGCAGATATCCCTCACCCAGCGTGCCAAGGAAATATCTGCATTCGTCACTAATAGCGGCCTGTACCAGTACCCACGTATGCCACTCGGAATGAAAAACGCTCTGCCACGATTTCAACGACTTATAAACGAAATTATTAGAAATATCCATGGATGTGATGCCTATATCGATGACATCATAATCTATACTAACACCTGGCAAGACCAATTGCGCATAATGCGAGAGCTATTTGAGCGGTTGCGTGAGAGAAACATTACTGTTAATTTAGTGAAATGCGAGTTTGGACATGGAACTGTAATCTACCTTGGTCATGTAGTTGGAAGTGGAACTGTAAAACATGTAGATGCTAAAATTGAAGCAATCAATAACTTCATGGTCCCAGAAAACAAGAAACAACTTATGAGATTTCTGAGCATGGCAGGTTACTACCGAAAATTTTGTGAGAACTTTTCAAAGTCTTCGGACAAAGAGGGCTAAATTTGATTGGACCAAGGATTGCGATGTAGCATTTGAACAAATCAAAGGACTACTCATGAATAGTCCCGTATTGAGCACTCAAAATTTTGAAAAACAATTTAAACTTTTTGTGGATGCAAGCGACTTGGGAGCAGGTACCGTATTAATGCAAGCAGAAGATGACGGACTTGATCACCCATTGTGCTATTATTCGAAGAAATTTAACAAGCATCAAAGAAACTACTCTAAAATTGAACAAGAGTGCCTAGCAATGGTACTGGCACTTAATCACTTTGATGTGTATTTGAACACTACACTTTTTCCTATAATTGTATATACGGACAATAATCCTTTAACTTTTATCAATAGAATGAAAAATAAGAATCAACGAGTCCTAAGATGGTCGTTGTTGTTAGCAGAGTATCATTTGCAACTTACTCATATTCGAGGCAAAGACAACATCTTTGCGGATGCTCTTTCTAGAGCTGATTAATGTACGTAACTTCTAACGTTGAGTAAACACGAAAGTTTATATACAAACTTTCTTTTCTCAGGCGGGGGGTGTGTTACATCCTTGCCTAGTTTTAATTAAATTCTTTAAATAATTATATAATATAATATTTTGTAGTTAGCATTTTTATGACCTTAAGTTTTACTCAACATTTTCTAGGAAAGTACTGTTTCCTTATTTTAATTTGTTTTACTTTGTAAAGCTCATAAATATTATTATCCTACAGTATGCTATTGTCCTATGACACACAAGTTCCTTTACCCGTGGGCAGTATTTAATTAACACAAGGTAAATGAACTGAGCTTGGAATCTCTAAGACTTGAATGTGGTTTCACATCCTGGACATTTACTTTCAGTTGGTCCAAACCACTTATTTATTACCTTAATTATGTATATGTTTATCGGACACTTTACTGCAGCTTTTAATTGGTGGATTAGTTTGCTAAACTTGTTGGAATTGGTGCCCTGATTGGATGAGACTCTTAATATGCAAGGTGTCACACACATCTTAAATGATCTTACTACCCTAAGTAATTCAGTTGTAATTTGGGATCCAGTGCAGACAACTCAAGACATCTTTATTACCTGGAACCCTGTTATTTTGTCCGGCTTCAGTTCCTCTCTGATCTGTAAGTAAAATACTTAAATTGCTGCTTCAGGTTCTAACCACCACCATCCTCTAAGCTCATTTATATGTTTAATTTCTATCTTTGTTTAATTACCGTATTATAATGGCATTGTAAATAAATTATATATATTTTGTAAATACACAAAAGTTGTGATCTCTTCTCTGTTAGTTATTCTGAGCCGTAACGTAACACATGCGTACAATCAACTTTTTTTAAGCAAGTTTTAAGCTAAGCAATATCAATATATCTTACTTAAACAAAAAAATTGACTTAAAACGAATTTAAGCTGACTTGGATAAATCGGCCCCAGACCCTCCCATCCAGCTATACAATTATTTGTCTTTGTATGTTTATATCTTTAAAATTTTTCAAAATTAGCAGCAATGTACCTTATCGAAAACATCTCTAACATTAGCTTCTGACTCTCCGAACCACATGGTCAAAAGCTCAGGCCCCTTGACTGAGATGAAGTTAGCTTGACACTCATTGGCAATGGCCTTGGCGAGAAGCGTTTTACCGCAACCTGGCGGACCATAGAAGAGCACACCTTTGCTTGGTGTCATTCCGAATTTGAGGAACTTGTCTGGATGTTCAACAGGGTATTGTACCAGTTCTTGCAACTCTCGTTTCACGTTATCTAGACCAGCGATATCTTGCCAGGTGACAGTTGGAACCTCCACAACTGTTTCACGCAGGGCACTTGGGCTGCTCTTGCTAAGGGCGAACTGTTGGCAAAAAAAATAACAGAATTTTAGGCATTGAGTCTCTATATAATATTCTTTGGACTTAAATTAAAAATATAATTTAAAATCCTTACATTTTTGGTAGGAATTTTATGAGCAATAAACAAAAAGGTGATGATGAAAAATATAATTTAAAATCCTTACATTTTTTTGGAGGAATTTTATAAACAAAAAACAAAAAGGAGATCATCTTATTAAAATAAAATTGTGTATTAAATCATTTTAAATTACTACATTACACAAAGCTTGGTTTCCATACAATCGCTACATGCTATCGCCGACAGCTTTCGGTGATGCTGATTAGTCGGTCAAATCGGGGAGTGATCCCGATTGAGTCTGAGACTTCTACGCAGTACAACAATTGCACTGAAAACACTGTAGCGACGGTGTAGCGATTGAATGGAATCAAGCTTAAGGGTTATCCAATTTTTGTATTTATGTATTGTATTTTCTTTTAATATGCAAGGTTTGTATTGATAGAGCACCCTCTAAAAACATTGTTAAAATATATCATAATCATGGTTTTTGCATATAGCAAACTTAACATTGCAAATCATTTTTAACTAGAAATTAGCATTCTTCACATGAAAGTCTAGGTGGTAATATTCCTCTTACCCTGAAATCATCCATAGTCACAGCCAGAGAGTCCATGACTTGAGCATCGATTTGTTCATCTTCAAGGTCAATGAGATCCATCTTGTTACGGATCTGCTGCAAGGCAGCCTCTGAGCACAAAGCTGCAAGATCAGCTCCAACATGTCCATGGGTTTCATTTCCAACCTAACATGAATCAAAGTCAATCAAACTATCATTATCATTTAAGTGATGGTGTTTCACTTCATTTAAAAATTAGTCCAACATCACTACAATGGTTCTGCTAAATCCCGCCATTGGAAATTGTTGTTAAAATGTGTGGGACCTTTGGCTAATAAATAAGATGTTGTGATTGGTCATTTTAAAGTTTGGTTGATGGTATGGAAAGGTCCATTATACATTTTCAAATCTATCATTTATAATAATGTATTTAATAATAATTCATTTATTATATATAAGTATTTACAACAAAATAATTGATGTGTAATATATCATATAAATACTATATAATTAGTGTAAAATTGTTACATCATAGTAAATATTGTTATACATTTTACATCATTTAAACTTGAATATTACAACTTGGAGCAATTTTCTATCATTAAATTTATGTCATTATTGTATGAATTATTCTTATCAATATCATGGTAATTGTTGTCGACGTCAACAATACTAGACAACACAGCGTCCTCACCTGTTCCAAATCAACATCATCATGTAGTTTCATGTTCTTGGTATGAATACGAAGAATCTCAAGTCGACCAGTAGCATCTGGGATTCTAATGTCCACTTCACGATCAAATCGACCTGTAAGATAATTAAATTTGATATGCAGTAAAGAAAAATGTTAAATTAAGGGAGCAAATAAATTAAATACAAATAAAAAAATAGTTAAATTAGATATGCTTTTTTTACACTGCGCAGTAAAAGCATAGCCTCCCCACGGTGATTTTTGAGACACTTTGTTGTTGTCTGGCAGTTGATCTTATAAGAGTAAATCCAGTAGAGTAAATCCAGCGGAGGAATGATCGGATAGGTCATGAGCTAAAGATAAAAATAAAAAGTTTATGAAATATGATGCCATGCTAGATAAGACCTGCCCTAGTTACAATAAGTTATCATTTGAATTGACATCACAGAAAGCTGCTAGATAAGACCTGTACTAGAAAGTTCCCTAAAATGTCACAATAATCTGGTATATACTTGTACAGTTATTCTAGTTAATTGCCAACACAGAAAGCATGGATGAGTTATAAGTAGCTGGAAAAAAAAAAAAAAAAAAAACCACGTTAGGCAGTCATTGAATCCAATTAGACTTACCAAACTTATCTAATTGTTTTTTATCGTAATAACAAATGATTTACTACTGTATAACAGCGACGACACAAAAAAACATTACAATTTTAACTAAATTATTAGTGAAATTATACAAATGAGCAATTAGCATATTCACACACACACACACAAATACTAAAAACAATAGGTTCCATCTTCTTACCATCTTGCATTCTGACAAACTTGAAACCCATCAGACTTTACCAAACTTTAGTTATCATGGTAATAAACAAATGACCAACGACGACAACAACAACATGAATAAAAACGAGTACAAACAAACCTCCCCGAGCTTCACTCCTTTGGAGAGGCTAATAAGAGTGGAAAAGAAGATTTTGACGAACAATATGAAGTAAAGTTTTACCAAATTAGCCAATAACTACTATATCTCCAGTCTTTTGTTAATTGTTAATGAGAATTATATAATATATCTGTTTAATGTTGCAATGTAATCAAGCAAGTTATATGAAATTACGCTTACCAAAACGACGAAGGGCAGGATCAATACTGTTTGGTCTGTTTGTTGCTGCCATGACGATGACATGAGCTCTTTGTTTTAATCCATCCATCAAAGTCAGCAACTGTGATACAATTCGCCTTTCAACCTCACCATGTGTCTGTAGTTAATAATTGACATTACAAGTTCTTTTTTCAATACTTAAAATGTACTTGAGTACAAAATTTATTTAAAAAAAACTGTTTGAATTACATTTCACAAGTAAAATATGAGGAGATATGACACAATAAGTATCAGTTAAATGAACCGTGACAAGTGAATGAGTCAACACGTCGTCTAGAGTTTATAGTGACGGAGTTGAATTTGTTGGCTGATGGTCGTATGACTGTCGCACAGATGCAGTGGGTGCCGGCTTAAGACAATGGTAATAAATAATGTAAATATCTTACATTTAATATAGTATCTATAAAGTAAGTAATGCACAATTTTTGTATATTATAAACAATACTTAGCCAAATACTTAGATAGTATATTATCATCAACATGACATGTAAATCAATAATCAAATTCATTATGTCTTTGTTACTTTATCAAGTTCTACCTTTTCCCTTTTTGGAGCAATGGAGTCCAACTCGTCTATGAAGATAATTGCTGGTGCGTTCTTTTCTGCTTCCTCAAAGGCTTTCCTTAGGTTATACTCTGAATCTCCAGCAAGTTTACTCATAATCTCAGGGCCTACACATCAGATGTATATAATCAATAAATTGTTCAATCAATCAATTGTTCAATCAAACAATCATTCAACCACTTAATCAATCCTTTATGTAATTTATATTTTTGTTCATTCAATCAACTAATCAACCAATTATACATTCAATAAATTGTTCTAACATTCATTCAAGCATTCAATCATCCAACTAATCATTCAATCAACCAAACATTCAAAGAATCATTCAACTATTCAACCAAACAATCAAATAAATGTTACCATCGAACATTTAATCAATAAACCACAAAATCATTTAATCAATCATGTAATCATTCAGTCAGTCAGTAATCATTCAGACAGTCAGTCATTAAATCAGATCGCCACTAAATCAATTAACGTACCAACCACTCATCCAATCAACCAATCAATCAATCAATCATCTCTATAAAATAAGGTAATATTGTCACAAAAAAAACCAGATTGTATATGCTGCAAAACACAACAGATAAACTTTATCTGTGTTATATAATACCTATCAAAAACATTAAATATATATCTCACATTTTAAGAAAGGGACAAGTCTCTGCCGTTGTTTTACTGCACATTAATCTATTGCTGAGGGTTGGGCTGACATAAAAATGAACAATACATTTCAACATTAAATTAAAAAAAATAAAACAAAAAAACATATAATCTAAATACATCACACTTTGACAATAAAACAAACAACAATGTACCAGCAGATAAAGTTATAGCTCACCGTTAATCAAGAAAAAGAATGCTCCTGTTTCATTAGCCACAGCTCTAGCAATCAAGGTCTTGCCAACACCAGGCGGTCCATACAAAAGAATTCCTCTTGGGGGCTATAGAGAGATATCAGAAATCAGCGATTATCTATGGTATTCAAAACATAATCAACAGAGGGCCTAGCTAACACTTGGCACTCATGCCATTTGCAAATAAAGTCTTTTATGTGTAAACTACATCACTATTTGTTGTACCTTCACTCCAATGGCTTTGAATAGTTGAGGATGACGCAATGGCAGCTCTACCATCTCTTTGATTTGAGCTAGCTGCTTGCGGACTCCACCAATATCATCGTATCCAATCATATTCAACGACTCTTCTTCCTCCTGTCACAAGATTAAATAAAGAAATTTAAAATGTTTGCAAGATGTGTAATTAGAAGTAGGACACATGGTGGCAGTGAGGATGACTACGATGAAAATGATTTATAATGATTATGATTATGATGATGATAATGGTGATGATATTGAGAATGTGACATAGGTGCCACCCACTATGATAAAAATGATAATGATAATGATGCTGGTGAGAATGATGGGGATGGGGATTATGATGGTCATGATGATGATGGTTATTATGATAATGACGATGATGATGACGTTACTGATGAATAACATCCCTCGTGACTCAATTCCTAAGTTGTGGGTTAATGTCTATGATCCAGACACCTATTATGAATAGTAAACAATCTTAAAAACATTATAGCAAACAATGGAACTGATTTTCATTAGCTGCAATATGAAATAATTCAAACTAATATTTTACCTCTCTCTTAATGAATTCTCCATCCGAATGAATAACAGTATCCGGGGCTACGATGCAGTATGGACTTGGGTCTGTCTCAACCACCTTGAACTCAACAGCTCTCATACCTCCACGAATCATAAATATGTCGCCCTTTCGCACTGGTCGGTAGGCTTCTAAAAAGTACGGCTTTAAGTATACCTCAAACAAGTTCCTGAAAAGCAATTTAAAATATAAACCATGAATCAAATTATAAAACTTTTATTAATTTTTTATTATATATTGATATATTAGCTTTTCATTACTATTATTATTTATAGCTACACAATTAATTAAATTGTTTCAAATACATTTTCTGTGTAAACATTTTTAACGGATTTTGATTTCTTTGATGTACAACACATCAAGGATAACCCACAGATAACTTCATTCCAGTGAGAGAAAAGCGGGGATGATCTTGCTGGTTGTTTATTGCATTAAGCAGCACAATGCAAAAGAACCCCAGCATTGATAAACGTGAACATTGGTTATATTGTAGGTTCTCCGATAGTGTACAGTTCAAAATAAAAAACACATTTGACAAAAAAAACTGTTGTATGCCCATATATAGCCATGATGTTCCTATATATATATAGTCATAGTGTGATGTCATCATGACTATATTTAGGTTTATCACATACATTGTTTTTGTCAAATAACATCTGATTGTATGAACAGGACTTAACAGAATAACTGAATCAATAAATAGCTTACCCTGTGATTCCCTCAACTGTGTCATCAATAGGGAGAACATGAATTCTTTTACCATACTTTACATCTGGACAACCTTCTACACTGTAAAAACAAAACAAAATTTAGGTCAATGTATGTGAAGGGATAATTTATGGTAAATCCGGGTTTAATCCAATAAGCACCTCCTTCAATAACTACCTGATAAACTGATTTACACAACACATCTGCCCTACTCTCAAATAAGTGCTGCAGTTTATTATTCTCACGTGTGCTTGTATCCAGTTGAACATATAATATATCTCACCTGACTATGTCACCGAGACGAACTCTGAGATTGTTCCTGATGACACGGTTGATCCTGATCTTTTCATCGGAGACAGTGTCATCCGAGAGGACGATACAGACTGTATCTCTCCTCTTTTTGCCCTTCAGCAGGACTGTATCACCACGAAATAACTGTAGCTCATCCATCTTAGCCTAGGAAATAAACAAATAAAAAACATTACACATGTGCTTATAAAGATTCATCTGTTCAAAAACTCTGTCCATAACTTATGTGACAAATTTGTGTGATTTTCTGTGACAAATTTGTGTGTTTGCTATGTGAAAACTTTGTGCGAGTTTTAGTGAGCAAATTTTGTGATTTGCAATGAAAAATGTATGTGACTTGGTATGTGACAAATTTGTGTTATTTGCCATGTGACAAATTTGGATAATTTTCTCTAATATATTTGTGTGATTTGCTATGTCAGAAATTTGTGTGATTTATTGTGACAAATTTGTGTAATTTGCTGACAAATTTGTGTGATTTGCTAGTGAAAAATTTGTGCAATTTGCTATGTGACAAATTTGTGTGATTTGCTCATACAGTATATGGGTGTGATAGACATAACAAAATAATGTGCTTTGATTGCAATGGAAAACTCGATTGGATGGACAGAAATTTAGGAACAATGGCTGACAAATAATGAGAGGTGGTTTCAAGATAAATTCATTGCCATTGAAGATCGAGAAATGTTGATTTTTTTTTAATGTATGAGATGAATCATTAAATCTCCATTTTTAAAAACTTGTCATATTTTTTGAAAATCGAGTATAAAACAGAAAAGTCAGAGTTGACGTTTAATAGCATAATTAAATACCCAAGGTCTTACAGTGAAAGGAGCCTGATCATTCAAATTATGCTAAACAAACACTGTGATATGCAATCATGCCCATATATGGGCACATCACACACATTTTAAAATTTGATAGTGTGGACAAAGCTTAACACTCAACAGTGGTGAAATGTAAAGTCCTGTCCAGACTATCAAATTTTATTTGACAAAAACACATGACATGCCTAAATATGGTCATGATGACATCATATCGTTACCATATTATATATCGTAGGCACATCATGACTATATATGGGCATACCAACAATTTTTTGTTAAAGAAAATTTGATGGTATGGACAGCGCTTAAGACTTACCTGTGAAAGGCAGACGACGGAGTTGTCATCATTGGCTGCTTCTTCCACTAATAACCTGTTTGGATGAGACTTGGTCTTCAGAATTGCAGTAGCAACGTCATTCCTGTAAAAGGTTTGAAATAAACTAATAATTTTACAATAGTTGTTTAATAATTAAGGTGTCTTTTCATAGAAAAATAATTCTCAGACACATTTTTTAAAGACATAAACAAAAGTATTTTAGACCAAGCAAAAAGGATACTTATCAGAGCTTACTCAAAAAATGAATGATACATTTAACGTCATTATCACTATAAGTAAACTGGTGAGGTCTGAGGTAACATCGCCTTATTTTGTTATCGGACCAAGTGAGGTTCCTGCGAGCTCCTAACTTTTGGGGCTTCAAGGTACAGGAGTATGGAGCAGTGAAAATGATTCTTATGGTTTTTTCGCCGTTTTCTTTAGTTCTCTTTGTAGTACAGTATTTGGATATTTCATGGTATGTAAAGCACAGAAAGGAAACTTTCTTGTATTATGCGATACATAAGAAATAATGTACATTATTAATATTATTATTGTTATTATTATTATTATTAAATTATTATTATTATTATTATTCCCAGCAGTACTGGAAAAGCCATTGTTTTTGTTCTGATTTTTTTTATTTTTCCTTTTTTTTTTGCATATATTTTACCCATCTTTTTGCACAGTTTTTTTTTCTGGCCGTCACTTTGGTCACTTCCCATGCTTAGAATTTTTCCATGCTTTGCCGAAGCATAGGCCATATATCAAGGATGTGCCTCCTAATATTTAGTGTCAATCTATGGTGGGGTGTGCGTGTGAGGACCAATTAAAGTGATTTAAGGTCAAACAATACACCAGATATTTCAAAAACCGGTCAGTTGATGTGAATGAAACTTACGGGAAAGTTTAATCAAGTTACAACCAAGAAGTTTTTTGTGTTAGTGATGATCCAGTGAAGGATGTAAATTTGAGGGTCTTTTCAGTTTTTGAGGACCCAGACCTAAATATCTCTTTTAAAAAACCAATGGGTCTAAATGAAACATACTATAATACTTTGTAAATGTCTCGTAAAAAAAATAATTAAATTTTTGTGACGATCCGCAGTATGGTGTGGATCTGAGGACCATTTGAAGAAAAATGTCCCAGTAGACCACTTATTTCGAAAACGGATCAACTAATCTGAATGAAACATTCAAAAAAAGTCTAACCAAGTTACAAGAAATTATCATGTGCTGGTGACGAATCAGTCAAGGGTGTAAATGAGAGGGTCATTTCAATTTTTGAGGACCCACACCTAAATATCTCTTTTAAAAATTCAATGGGTATAATTTAAACCTTGTAAAACAGTTTGTCAAGGTCGAGTAAAGAAATGAAAAATTTTTTGTGACGATCCGGAGTAGGGCGTAGT